GTGATAAGGACCTTGAAGACTGACACGAGGATATTCAATATATTCTCGAGGCACAAGGTCTTTCTATCCTGCAGATTGATATGTTCCCCTCGTGGTCGTCGGCCTCTTCCTGTAATAAAAATCACTTTTGATAGTAAGCCAAGATCCCTAGATAGTAGGCCTAAATAGTAGCTCCCTTCCATCTTCTGTAACTCTTGCAGGTGCAAGATGCTCCGTGCTGGTGTACGTCTCCTCTCCTCACCTCTGTAAAAGGTGCTGGAGATTTGGACACGGTATCTTAAATTGCACATGTAAGGTGCAAGCTAGGTGCTATGACCCAAGACCCCCCTTGTGTGGGGTCTTGGGTCATTTTTGTTTTTAATTCCTGTATCTCCCTTACCGCTTCGGGAGGCAACCACCGGTCCCCACCGACCGCCAGATAAACATGGCCAGTGAGCATCAGGGTGATAGAGGGACTGGTGTTTACTCTTATTGTCCGAGTTGCAGCATAGTGCTTACCAGACCAATCTGCAACACAAGCAGTTGAAGATAGGCAGGATCGAGATAACAGCAGTTGAAGACAGGCAGGATCGAGATAACAAGACCCTATCTCTTTATTAAACCTAAATCTGGATAGGCCTAGGTGTTAGTAGGTCATCCATCTCACCCGAAGTTAAGATGATAAAAATAACATATTTGTCAATGTAAAGAGAAAAATGTCATAGAACTTAAAACTAAAGCATATAGTGTTAGGCACAAGACCATGGAAAACACATTAAAAAAAGTACACTTAACATTTTGCCCCAGAGCGTGTAGGGTAGTGCAGGGAACGGGACTGGTTCTGTACAGCGACACCGCAGGTATAGTGTGTAATACACTTGGTCTGTAGTGTAAACCGCAGGTATAGCGAGGTCAGTAGTGTAAACCGCAGATATAGCGAGGTCAGTAGTGTAAACCACAGATATAGCGAGGTCAGTAGTGTAAACCGCAGATATAGCGAGGTCAGTAGTGTAAACCACAGGTATAGTTTGGTATGTAGTGTAAACCACAGGTATAGCAGGGTCAGTAGTGTAAACCACAGGTATAGCTTGGTATGTAGTGTAAACCACATATATAGCTTGGTCTGTAGTGTAAACCACAGGTATAGCTTGGTCTGTCGCGTAAACCACAGGTATAGCTTGGTCTGCCGTGTAAACCGCAGATATAGCGAGGTCAGTAGTGTAAACTGCAGATATAGCGAGGTCAGTAGTGTAAACCGCAGATATAGCGAGGTCAGTAGTGTAAACCACATGTATAGCTTGGTCTGTAGTGTAAACCACAGGTATAGCTTGGTCTGTAGTGTAAACCAGTCATATGAAAGAGGAAAGCCGTGGTTTGAGGCGTTTGCTTGTCAATAAGTAACAATTTAGGTGGGCAGGAAAAATGGCGACGATAAGGTACTTACCCCCAGGAGGAAGGAGTTGAGTAACCTTATCGCTTCAACCCATCCTCCGAATAGACAGTACGTTTTAATATTAAACGAATTAAGTACATTCCTGACTGTCTGCATAGTACATAAATACACCAAATTGTGCCGTTACATTTACCTCCCATTTTCTGTTAATATACTCAAAATTTTTAGGTTGAAGTTTTCGTGTTCGATTCTTTATTCACATGTTTTAAATATATAGAATTTCTTTTTCAGTTTTATTAAACAATAGAGATTTTGTACAAAATTTTAAAATATTCTGAGTTACTTTATAATTTATTAAAAGACTTTAGTTTTGTTTTATTAGTTTTATAAAACTGTAATATCAGTATAGCAATAGGTTAAGTACTAATTGTAATTAGGAAGCAATAAATGCTATTTACATGCTTGTCCTCCTACACTCCCAAGGTTAGGTTAGGTCGTGGTTTTCTATACTGCTTTTCAGGTAAACTCTAATATTCACAATATTTTGGTGCGATGCTGGCGATTAAGTGTATTTATGTACTATGCCGATAGTCAGGATACTTATACTTATTACATTTAGTATTAAAACGTACTGTCTATTCGGAGGATGGTCTGCATCATTGACCAATGAGGAGGAAGCAAGGCCGAGATGTGTTATGAGGAGAACGTCAGCGACTGATGAAGACGTCAGTTTTGAGTGTGGGGGTCGAGGAAGTCACACACTTCTTGTAGGCGTTTGAGGTGTTAGTACTACAGCACTGGTGAGAGAAGTGCCGTGGAACTGTGACAGAGGGACGTTCTGTCAGAGAGGAAACGGCGGTTGTGGTTTCACCCTCGATTTGTGGACCCAGGAGCGACACTCTGAAGCCAGTGAAAAGGTGAATGGACCTCACCCTTTCACTGGACGAGACTCCCTTTGTTTCCCTACTTTTCTAGCCTCATCGTGAATGGAAAGGGTGCCCACTGTGGTGAACCTATAAGAGGTTATGTCACGGGTGAGGGCAGTGTGACAGGTGAACCAAGGTTGGTGCAAGTGTTTAACCCACACATGCAAGTCAGAAAGAGACAATTTGGCAGAGGCAGTCGAGAGAGGATTTGTGAATGACCTGGAGGAAGGTAAACCCCAGGCGCCACCTTGATTTCTGGAGACAAGCTAAATCGCATCATTATTGAGCGGTAAGGGTTTTCTGTTTGACTCAGTTTACCAGGTACGGTGACCAGAAGTGCTCAGTGATTTATAGTGACGCTCAGTGACCTTAATTAACCGTGTAAATAATGAAAAATAAATAATATTGGGAATTGAGAGAGGTTAGCATGATGGTGGGGAGATGACAGGTGCTTACTTTCTGACGGTTGGTGGAACACTGACTGAATAAGCGGGAGATCAGAATAGCATCGCCCACGGCGGGGGAGTCCTCTTGGTAGTACGGGGGACTACTAGATACCGCCAGCAGTGGTGTGTGGAGAGTCTTGTAAAATAGTTCTGTTTAATTTATATTTTCGTTGTTTCTGAAGGAGGATTATTTAGTTATATGTACTTTTTGAGGTTCATGAGTTCGTCAAGAAGTTAGTTTGTTGGATGACCTGTCAGAGGAGTTGTTATTTGCTATGAGGCTATTTTACCAGAGGGAGACCCACCTTTGAAGAGAAGAGAATTGATCCACAGTTGTGATCAATTTTATCACCTTCATCGATCCTAATCGACCAAGGATCGTTTATCATCTTTATTTGGATGCTGGAGCTACCATTGTAATTAGTATGAGTGATGCAGTGAAAGGAGGTGAGAGTGATTAGTTTGTTGTTTTTATTGACATGTATTTTGATGATGGTGATTGGAAGATTCATATCCTGCATGATTACAAGATTAGTCAAGAGTAGAAGAGCAACCTGGTGTTTAAGGCATAATTTGTCTTACATAATCCATGTAAGGCATTAATAATTTGATTATTAATATTGACAAAGGTGATAAGCATATTGTTGAGGGAAGAATCAATTTGGATTTGTTGGTTTGATGTAAGTGACGTAAAAGCCACTTTGATGAAGAGTTTATAGTGCTGATATTGTACCATGCTTGTGGATAATTGTATTTGCTCATTGAGATACAAATATTTATGTTAGATTATGATTGTAGTAAGTAGAAGTTTGTTACTAGAGTACTAGCTTAGCAAGTTAGTCTGAGGAATGTTCATGTGCAAGGACCCTCCAGGTTACACCATATGTGAAGCGTGGGTGACGGTGCAGTCTAGAAGCGGGAAGTGAGTGACCTCAACCGATGTATAATTTTTATTGATTATATATCTGAGTATTAAATGTTTTTTTATATTTTTTGTCCCCTATAAGATTTAATGAGAGAAATAAACAGTGTCTTGCCTGCTTAATAACGAAGAGAGATTACAAGGTTATCTTGAGTAATGTGAGGAAAGATTGAGTCACTTGTAGCTCAGTTTGGATGTGAGCACATGACAACAGGTGAGTTGCTGAACCTCTGTAGTTCCCATCTTAAGTGATCTCATACCTCTTCCCCAGAATTCAATACGAACTGGTTGACTCATTACTTAGGTTTCTGGCATAGTTGTGGTGTCAGCGAAGGTTGCAGCACTAAGGATGTTCGCTAGTTGTAGTTATTTTATGTCATTATCACCAATCTGAATTACATGGTAATTTAGGGAGCCACAACGTAATTTCACATAATTTTCAACGCTTTGTGTATGTCTTCAGGAGCTGCTGCTTGGCTTCCATTTGATGACTTCCGTGGTTATTCCTCTCTCCCTCCCGGTCGCCGGGAGGGGACAGCTGGTCACCCGAGCGGACAGCACGCTGGACTTGTGATCCTGGGTTCGATCCCAGGCGCCGGCGAGAAACAATGGGCAGAGTTTCTTCCACCCTATGCCCCTGTTACCTAGCAGTAAATATAGGTACCTGGGTGTTAGTCAGCTGTCACGGGCTGCTTCCTGGGGTGGAGGCCTGGTCGAGGACCGGGCCGCGGGGACACTAAAAAGCCCCGAAACCATCTCAAGATAACCTCCCCACCCCCCCACCTCCGCCTCAAGCTTGTGCTGCGGCCCATAACTCTACAGCTCTCTTGATCAGTAATGGTCTTCCCTTGGTCCCGCTTCTTTTTCAGTCGCACTTTCATTCCTCTGCTGCCCGTCTCTTAATGAGTAAATGGTACACAGTTTATTCTGTTTATCTCCCGCCAAATGTTCCGTTTTCTCTTCCTGATGTTAAACACCTGATGGACCACTTCCCAGAGACTGTGCTCCTTATGGGTGATTATAACTGCCGGCGTGCCCTCGGGGGCGGTGTTCTGACCATGGCTGCTGCCTTGATTTCCTTAGATTCTTACCTTAGTCAAAGTATATTTTCTTAGGCCTAAATGTTTAAGGTTGTTACCTTAATAACAACAACCCTGTCGTCGGGACCTTAATAATGACTTCACGTTGACGTGACCGAAATAATAACCTCACATTGACGTGATCTTAATATATATTGTGAGTAAGGAAGAAATGTTTGCTGGGTGTAGTGTATAGAGACAAAGATAATCACCACACCATTCTGACTCTTATCCTCTGATGTGCCCCTCTCACAGCTCTTAAGGAAACGTGTAAGGTGCAGAAAGCGACTGAAACGTTGCCGAAATCTCCTCAGAAAATGGCACGAGGTAGGAAACGGTAGGCTTAAAATGTCATGCCCAGGCGCTAGGCTTGCTATGTCATGCCCAGGCGCTAGGCTTGCTATATCAAGCCCAAATATAACGCTTGCTATGTCATGCCCGGGCGCTAGGCTTGCTATGTAATGCCCGGGCACTTGGCTTGCTATGTAATACCCTGGCACTAGGCTTGCTATGTAATGTCCGGGCGCTAAGCTTGTTATGTCATGCCTGGGCGCTAGGCTTGCTATGTCAAGCCCAAATATAACGCTTGCTATGTAATGCCCGGGTGCTAGGCTTGCTATGTCATGTCCAGGCGCTAGCCTTATGTCAAGCCCATATATAACGCTTGCTATGTCATGCCTGGGCGCTAGCCTTATGTCAAGCCCATATATAACGCTTGCTATGTCATGCCTGGGCGCTAGGCTTGCTATGTAATGCCCGGGTGCTAGGCCTGCTATGTCATACCCAAATAGAACGCTTGCTAGCGCTGACTTTCTGGGTGTCATAGGCTACGGTGGCAGAGCTGGCTTTCTGGGTGTCATAGGCTACGGTGGTAGAGCTGGCTCTCTGGGTGTCATAGGCTACGGTGGCAGAGCTGGCTCTCTGGGTGTCATAGGCTACGGTGGTAGAGCTGGCTTTCTGGATAATATTGCATCCTCAAAGTGTGGGTTATTTTATTAATCTGCCTCCTTATTTTCTTTATTAGAACTGATGTATATATTTAGAAGCTGCAATATTAGAAGCTAATCTTTCTTCCTCTATTTTTATATTCTTGTAACAATGACAAATTTTAACGTTTTGTATAATTAAAAGCTATGTTACAACATTTTGAGTTTATCAGTCTATGCTGTTAATTTGTCATTATTCAAGATGCTTTTGTTATTGATAATTTTTGATTGAGGTGTTTAATCAAATCTCTAGAAATCTACTTTTTAAACGAAATCACATAAAAACTGAGGGCTCATGTAGAGAAGCTTGATTCATGGCTCTGGTGTCTGGAAGCTTGGGTTGTGGGTGTGGTGTCTTGAAGCTTGGGGTGTGGTGGTGGTGTCTGGAAGCTTGGGGTGTGGTGGTGGTGTCTGGAAGCTTGGGGTGTGGTGGTGGTGTCTGGAAGCTTGGGTTGTGGGTGTGGTGTCTTGAAGCTTGGGATGTGGGTGTGGTGTCTTGAAGCTTGGGGTGTGGTGGTGGTATCTGGAAGCTTGGGGTGTGGTGGTGGTATCTGGAAGCTTCGGGTGTGGGTGTGGTGTCTGGAAGCTTGGGGTGTGGTGGTGGTATCTGGAAGCTTGGGGTGTGGTGGTGGTATCTGGAAGCTTCGGGTGTGGTGGTGGTGTCTGGAAGCTTCGGGTGTGGTGGTGGTATCTGGAAGCTTCGGGTGTGGTGGTGGTATCTGGAAGCTTCGGGTGTGGTGGTGGTATCTGGAAGCTTCGGGTGTGGTGGTGGTATCTGGAAGCTTCGGGTGTGGTGGTGGTGTCTGGAAGCTTCGGGTGTGGTGGAGGCATTAAGAAGCTTTCCCCTAATAACTGCCTCACAATTCCCCTGATTACTACCATACCATATTCCTGATAACTACCTCACCTTACCCCTGATAACTACCTCACCTTACCCATAATAACTACCTCACCTTACCCCTGATATCTACCTCACCCTATCGCTGATAACTACCTCACCTTACCCCTGATAACTACCTCACCTTACCCATAATAACTACCTCACCTTCCCCATAATAACTACCTCACCTTACCTATAATAACTACCTCACCTTACCTATAATAACTACCTCACCTTACCTATAATAACTACCTCACCTTACCTATAATAACTACCTCACCTTTCCCATAATAACTACCTAACCTTTCCCATAATAACTACCTCACCTAAACCCATAATAACTACCTCACCTTACCCATAATAACTACCTCACCTTACCTATGTCTCACCAGTGAACATAATGGTAGCAACTGGGCCAATATTATCAACTCTGTGGTTGCTTACTTTCTTATATCAAAATTGGTCGCGGGTTAATTTAAAAATATTGGTGACGCTTTTCCAAGAGACTCCTGATATATGCCACAGTAATTGTGGAATATCTGATCAACCAGGCTGTGATATGATCAACCAGTCTGTGATACCTGATCAATCAGGCTGTGATTCATACGTCAGGCTGCGAGGAGCCGCGTCAAACAGCCGGATTGACCAGTCCACCAACTATGATGCCTGGTCGGAGCTTGTGCAGCGGGCACGCTAAGTCCCGGAATCATCACACGGTAACCGCAAGGTACGGTACATGATCTCTTGAAACCGACTACAGGTAAATTAGGCACAGCCACTCTAACTGGCTGCTGAAGGTGGGCCAGTTATGTGGGCTTCCCTGTACCCATGTATGTGTGTAATATATTTATTACACACACACATACATATATACACATTTATACATATATACATACATATATACATATTTATTACATACACATACATACATAATATATATATATATATATATATATATATA